GTCACACCATACATGATTGATGATGGACTCAATTGATCTACCGCTTTGGTGACAACTAAGCACATTGCCGATTCTAACTGTACACAGAGTTTGGGGTGAAACCACTTATCAACAAATCTGTTTTACAAATGAAATTTCTACTGAATGGTATTTTGAATGCTTTTTTAAAGACAGGGCCATAGCTATACCAATCAGTATTATGGGGTTGTGACATTCAGGAAAAGGAAAAGATTAATCTATTACATATTTAATACTTCTAGTTAAAACTGAATTCTTATATACACTTTAGACTCAAAGAAAAGAAAAAAATTAAGAAGTTTTTCAGGATTTGATTTTCAAAACTATTTTGCCAACACAGATCAATTTCCTACCCTGGTTTGTAGTCAGGAATGGATAAAGACAACAAATAGCAACTTTGTTCTACATCTGTCAGACCAAAACTCAATCCTGTATTTTTCACCTTCCCACTCAAGATGTTCAGGTTCTATCTACCTGCATGTCTGTTTCTTCTGCCTTTCTTGTCCTCTCTCCTTGGCTCACTACACTAGATTTGTTGTTGTTGTTATGTGCCGTGGAATCGGTTACGACTCATAGCGACCCTGTACACGGTTTCCGAGGCTGTAAATCTTTACGGGAGCAGAAAGCCTCATCTTTCTCCTATGGAACAGCTGGTAGTTTCGAACTGCTGACCTTGTGGTTCGCAGCCTGATTCGTAACCACTATGCTACCACTTATGCTACTAGATAAGACGGTAGCATTAAAAAGTGTGGATGATCATGACTACCATCAGCTCGTGGTGATTAACTATGCCAGGTAACCTATATTGCAATTGTTGCTGTGAAGAGCCGTCAAGTTGGTTCTGAGTCACAGTGACCCTGGGTAGGGTTTCTGAGGAGTACTTGCTTCAAAGTAGATAACACATATCAGACCATCATACAAGAGTGACAGACAGTCTGGGGGATATTCTTTTTACATCACATATGGACTAAATATGGAGTCCTGGTGTGGCACTGCAGGATAATGCGCTGGACCCAAGGTCGGTTTGGACCACAAGGTCAGAGGTTTAAGCTCACCAGCTGCTTCTTGGAAACCATATACAATAGGGTGGCTATGAGTCGGAACTGACTAGATGGCACTTAACAACAACAACAACAAATGGAATAAATATAAACACCAGGGTCAAATGGGATCAAAAGTGACATTACCTGAAAGTAACCAAAAACGAAAACACAGTCTCTTTTTTCAAGATGTGGGTTCTATTACACACCATTAGGATGACTCCCATTCTTGCACAAATCTCCCTGTAGAGCCTCCTTTTTACAGCTCCAGGTCATTGTTGGCCACACTGCTGAGCGCCTAATCAAAATCTGAGAACATCTGCCACGTTCACATTCATGTCAAACTCCTCTACGTAGACTTGAATGTCAACCATTGCCAAACAGACTTAAAGCAATAAAAGTTTATGGCCTTGTGACATCATAGGACAATTAGAAGGCACCTTTATACAATATAAAAACTTTATTTTAATAACTCAGTAATGATACGTACAATGCATACAATCAGAATATGTCAGATATCTATGGGCAATATACATAGAGATTCTGCACTGCCTGCCCGTTTATCTCCATTCCCAAAACCTGAAAACAAGGAGTACTACATTAAGATCTGTACACCAATGAGATCTGTTCACTTAATAACTCTTGAAATAGTTTCCAAGAATCTTTTATTTCCCTCCTTACAGCAGAACAAATAAAAAGTTAAATATTTAAGTACCCCAAAGCAAGACAAATTTTCTGTGAGAGATGGAGAGCCAAGCACAGAGGAATTAAGCGAGCATTTTCCCATGATATCGGCAAATGGCAGCGCCCACGCACATTTCCTTTACAGATTAGTCTGGAAATTTCAGGCTGCTATGAGCACAGTTGATAGATTTCCATTCCGCACAAGTACTTGCTGCAAAATTTTATCTTTTCATTTATAAATGGGAACAACACATATTAGGTGATAACAAGCTTCTCTGTGTGTCATCTGTAAGGAATGTTACTACTGTCGGAAGAGAAAAGAGCATGTCTGCGCAAGAGAAACAACTCAGATTTCCTCAGTGAGATGGAATGGCTATTTCCCTGGAAGAAGGGGCCTCCCCTGGCAGTTGGTATTACAGGTGCCCTTCCCCATCCAGCCCAAGGATAACTGTGCACTTGGACACTAGTGGGAGGGGGAAAAGAGAGAAGACTGTCTTTTTACACAATGTTGAGTGGGGCTGTGTAGTGTGATGAGGAGGAGAAGGAAGGTGACCTCTCGAAGTCAGCTCTGTGAGATTCCGTAGTAGCAGAGGCTGCCCTCTTGAGAGGAAAGAGGGGACACTTCGCTGGGTACTGACTGGCATCCTTGGCATAAGAGAGATAAGAGGAAATGGCACAAGCCTCCTCTCAACCAGGGAAGCCCAGGAAAGGAATAGAATTAAATTCTGGGAGTGCCAAATGTCATAGTGGAAACACATTTTCTACACATAGAAAAAAGAAAAGCAACAAAGAATGATGGTCTAAAATGGAAGAGATGTACAAAGTCTAACACAGGGCTAGGGTGAACTGACTGTCAGCACCAGACAGGGCCTGCAGGATATAGCGCTAGGAAATGGAAATGAAACTAACAAAAAACACGCCCTTATAGACAAGGAAAGCTAAAAGTCCATTATATTTACTTCTAATAACATAGAATATGTATCTTGTATACTGAATGCTGAGCAAATAACCTGAGAAGTTGGGTTACATGAAGATAAACAGCATCAGGATTGGAGGAAGACCCATTAACAACCTGAGGTTACAAGGTTGTAACCTTGCTTGCTGACAGTGAAGATCAAAGAGCACAGCCTTCAGTATGGATGCCATCTCAATGTAAAGAAAACAAAAATCCTCACCAATGGACCAATGAACAACATTCTTATCAATGGAGAAAAGACTGAAGTTGTCAAAGAGTTCATTTTTCTTGGATCAACCATCAACACTCATGGCAGTTGCAGTCAAGAAATCAAACAACTTATTGCACTATGCAAATCTGCTGCACAGGAACTTTTTAAAGTATTGAACAGCAGAGATGTCAGCTTGAGGACTAAGGTACACCTGACCCAAGCCATGGTATTTTCAATAACCTCATATGTATGCAAACGTTGGACAGTGAATAAAGTAAGATCGTTGGAGAATTGATGCATTTGAGTTCTGGTGTTGGAGGAGAATATTGAAAGTGTCACGGACTGCCAAAAGAACCAATAGATTTGTGTTGGAAGAAGTTCAGCCAGAGTGCTCCTTGGAGGCCAGGATGGCCAAACTTCATCTCTCATACTTTGGACATATTGTCAGGAGGGACCAGTCGCTGGAGAAGGATATAATGTTTGGTAGGGTGGAGGGTCAGAGAAAAAGAGGAAGACTCCCAGTGAGATGGATTGGCAAAGTGGCAGCATGAATGGGCTCGTGTGTGACAACAATTGTGAGTTTAGCCCAGGACCAGGCAGTGTTATGTTCTGTTGTACATAGGTTTGCTATGAGTCGGTACCAACTTGATGGCATCCAACAACAACAACAAATACTCGGTGTGTCAGTCAATTCAAATACATCATCTCACATAATCCTATCAGAATCCTGCATAATAGATGCTGACTCCATTTTACAGCTGGTGGTTATATACCGTGGAGTCAGTTCCAACTCATAGCGATCCTGTATAGGATTTCTGAGGCTGTAAATCTTTACGGGAGCAGAAAGCCTCATCTTTCTCCCCCAGAACCACTGGTAGTTTTGAACTGTTGACCTTGAGATTAGCAGCCCAATTCGTAACCACTACACTACAGAGCTCCTTATTTTATAGATTAAAAAAAAAAAAAAATGTAGTAGAAAGGTTTAATGATTTTCCCAGTGTTACCTGGTGATATGAGGCAGATGTCAGGCCTGTCTGACAGGCTTTTTGACAATGGCCCTGTGCATCTCCTAAGGACGTTCTGAATTTAAATACTGTTTTTTATATAGACCAAATGTTCTTAAAGAGCCACACAGTCTCTTTAAATGTGACAAGCAGCCATACACAATAGGTAAGCAAATGGACATGTCTGTGTTCCAATAAAGCAGGAGACCAGTTAGCTGAATCTGATACAGAAACAAGGTTGGCAAAATGCAACCTTGGGTCAAATCCAGCCCACCACCTGTTTCGGAATATACTTAGGACCTAGATGTAGCCTGTGTTCTAGACTATTTCTAGGCAGGTGAAGGGTCACTCCCCATACTATAATAATGCCTTAGTTTCAGAGAACCATTCTTATGAAAATCCAGTGCTCTCTGTTCATAAACAATATTCTGATTCCTGTAAGAGACCTTTTATTACAAAGACACGGAGGCATTCTGCATCATCAATCATTCAACCAGTGTTCTGTTTCTGAGAGATTCAATACCCTTGGGAAGATTCAAAAGTCACAGATTCTTCACCTGAAACACTGGCAGCCAGAGACTGAGTTTATGGAGACACAATTATTTAGTTAATTCAGTCACTCAAATGTTTTATTGTTTACTGTATGCTAGGCAGAAATACAGATGATCTTCAGACAGAAAAGACCTCGCAGCATATCAGTAAATACTTTACGCGGAATAAATCTATACTGTTATTTATGACACTAAAAAACCTGAGCTAGAATACAACCTACTTGAAAGCAGGCAGACTGACACAGACGAACTGTGTTGCTTTGATAGCTATTGCAGTTAAGAGCCTCTAGACAAAGAACTCTGGCTTCATGTCAACAGTAGCAATCACAGGAGCAGACCCTCTGAGCTCTGGGAGAGCAGGGGCCATGCCTGGCTCTCAGCTTCATCCAGATCATCTGGCCCAATGCCCGGAACACAGCAAAGGCTCCATGAATATGTGCTGTCTGCATTGCTATGGATTACTTCTGCAACTCCTTACAAGGTGGAATTTGAAAGCCCAGCCTGACTCTCATATTAGAGGGGTCAGATTCTTCATACCTGGATTGTCTGGTAGTCGGAACCATCAATCCCCTTCACAGTCACCTCTCGGAAGACTCTTGGCTCCATTTCCTCTTTGGTAAGATCACAGTGATAAATGATACCTGAAATTAAAAAGTGGAATTATAAGTTTCATCTCAAAGGCTCACTAGACACAAAAGAGGCAAGAATCACACAGCATGACAAGGTGCCATGAATGGTAATAGGGGAGTGTTAGTCAGGGACCTAGAGAATCCGCATGGCTGCAGAAGGCTCACAACCTGAAGAGTACTTAGAACAGAGTCTGATACATGAAATTCTATGCTCACACTTTGCAGTTATTGTCACTTTTTAACATAATCCGTGTAGACATTTTGCAAAATATGTGCATTCTGTGAGTATGAGAAGGGGTAAAAAAAAAAAATTCAATTGTAGAACTTCACATGTCTTCCCCAATCCAGGTTGTTTAGAAATGCACATCCAAGTAAATGGTGAACTTCATCCAGGACCATTTTACCTGTGAGGCAACTGAGACAGAAAATTCAGTGACTCATCCAAGGCGAAAACTTTGGGGCCTCTTGATGGCTATCCTGGGACTCCTGCTCTGTGAAACCTACCCATCTGTTACACATATGTGCACAGTTATCAAGGGCAAAGCCAAACAGACACTCATTTCAGAACTAGTATTATCTGAAATTGTGCACAACACAGAATGATTAGTGTGCAGCAAGACTTTCAGTGTACTGAACCACTAATTAAAATTCCACTTTCTGAATTTAATGCTATGACTCTGTAACTGGGGTGCTATAGGGTCAGCACTGGACTTCAATCCACAAGATTGGCCATTCAAACTCAACAGCAGTTCCTCAGAAACGCTACACAGGGTTGTTACAAGTCAGAACCGACTCGACGGCACTTAACAACAAATCTCTAAGAAAAGTCCTAGCGTGGTACTGTACGATAAAACACCGGACTGCGAGGTTGTCTGAATCACAAGATCAGCGGAGTTCAACCTCATCAGCTGCGCCTCAGAAATGCTGTACAGGGTCATTATGAGTCGGAACTGACTCAATGGCACTTAACAACAACTTTGTAACTGTGGCAATGCAGAATCAGCACTGGACTTCAAACCACACGGTCAGCCGTTCAAACCCACTAGCAACTCCTCAGAAACCCTCTACATAGCAACAAACAACAACTCTCTAACTCTCAGCTCTCTAGTTCTGGTGTGACGCTGTGGGACAAGCACTGCTAACAATAAGGCTGGCAGTTCAAATCCAGCAGCCGCTCCTTGGAAATCTTATACAGAGTCATTTGAGGCTGAACCAACTTAAAAGTACTTAATAACAACAACTCTTCAACGTTTAAGAATTGAAAGAAATAGTAAGTAAGACACATAATGAAAGTTTGAGAACAATGACAATGCTGTGGTTTATGAAGCAGAATTAATCATTAACAGAGTGGCTGGTATAGAAAGAGCCCACTGCCCCAGAATATTTTTAACATATGCTGTCAGGTATATGAAAAATCAATTTAGAGATCCTACTACTCGCTAGAAAACCAGAAGCCAAACAAATTCCCACAAGACACACTTATACTGACTGATCATATATGAACATGGCAGTTCTTTCTTCTTAACGTGTGGACTTCCATTGGACAGCTAAGAAACAATACTTGTCTGCTTTTCACTAACCAAGGAATACACTGCAGATTCCTTAGAAGCATAATTGTTAATCTCTCTGTTATTTCCGTTCTCATGCCTGGACAAATTATTTTTAAGATGATTACAAGGAGCCCTGGTGACAAAATGGTCACATGCTCGACTGCTAACTAAAAAGTTGGCAGTTTGAACCCACCAGCGGTATCATGGGAGGTCAGACCTGGTGATCCTCTCCCATAAAGATTACAGCCTAAGAGGTCATGCAAGCAATTAACACTGATGGTAGGGAAGTGCAATGTGACTTACATACTAGCTTTCTTGGTTTAAGTTATATTTGGCTATTTTTCAGCGTATAGCTTCATACTTCCAAAATCCACTCTGTGAAAACGCATTCTAATTTGCACTGAATACTGTACTTGCATATATGAACACAGTGTTGACGTCAAAGACTATCTTTGTTGTTAAGTGCTGTCGAGTTGGTTCTGACTCACACGCTGTATAGAGTAGGGTTTCTGAAGCTGTAAATCTTTGGGGGAGCAGAAAGCATCCTCGTTCCCCTGTGGAAGACTGCTTGTAGATGTATTTAAATTTATGTAGCGCATCTTGATCAGCACTCCCCTTCTCTCAAAACAAAAGTAAATAGGAATCCTTAAAATGGAAACAAAAATTAAAAAAGAGAGTGCACACGCAAAAGAGAGTACAAACTAAGCATCTGAAGAGCTGGCGCACCCTGGAGTCACTGCTAGGTGGAGAGCTATCAGTGATGCAGGATGTGGAATTAGAATTCCCATAAGGGACTGGTCCTAACACAGTGATCTTATTCTTGTTGTTAAGTACTGCCAGTTGATTCCAACTTATAGTCATCCTCTATGGGGTTTCTGAGAAGCCGGTGGGTTTGAACTGCCGACCTTGCGGTTGGCAGTCCAGTGCCGATCCTACATAATCCTTATTATGTAAGCCGCCAAACTGCTAGGAAGTGAGTTTTCCTAGTGAAATACAGTGAGTAGGTAACGCACTCTAAACACTTGTTTATCTAGTAAGGTTAAGAATTCCAATCTCCAAATTGATATGCTAATAGCAGAATGTGATTAATATACAACAGAGGTTGGTTACTTGCAGATATAAAGGGCCATGTGTCTGGCCTGGAGTGGTGCAAAGTCATTTGAATTACAAGGTCAGTGGTTCAGGCTCACCAGCTGCTCCTTGGAAACCCTATACAGGGTTGCTATGGGTCGGAATTGACTCCATGGCATCACTGTAACCTAAGGACCTTTTGTGTCCTGAGAAGACACCAGTGGGTAGTAAATTCAAGGAATATAAGGCTTGAGATAAAACATCCTAGAATCGTGAACCAGAGAAGACTGGGAAGATAATTTCTAGGAAATAAATGTCAAAGTTATGGGTGAAACAAAGATTTGGAATATGGAAGTCCTTTAAGGCTAGAGGTGGTTCTGACCTGAGGAGGTATTTCCTGAAGAAAACAGTGTGTTAGCAAGGCTACTCTAGCAACAAAAAGGATTCAGGGAGACCAGTTGGAATGTGTTTCTGCTGTAATGTGAAATAAATATAAGGAGATGGGAGAAAAGTGGGAATTAGGAGGAAAGGGCGACTGAAAAAAATAGAAAGAAAAGACAGAAAGAATAAGATGATTCTGAAAAATTGGATAACAGAAAAATAAAACAATTGTGTAAAAACTGACCTTTGTAAATACTGTGTTATCTGATTATAGCTTGGGTTTTAATGTTTTACACACACACACATCAACAGCCCAAGGCTCTTAAGAAAACCGTCTTTCTCAAGCAGTCTGGGAAAGGCTTTTGACATGTCTCATGCCTGCTTCTCAGAGCTGTGCACCTGGGACTTTCATACTGGATTATTTCGGTGTTCAAGTCTGTCTGGCGCTCACCTTAGCCAACCCTCCCCGGCCCCACTAGTGTGGAATTAATCGGCTCAACCACTAAGTGGTTTGAGCCACAGGGAATAAAAAGTGCATCATGCTCCAAATTGTCTTGACTGCTTTCTCTCAAGTGTGATTCCAGGTGCAAAAGTCCTAAATGGTTTGGGATCAAGATCTGCTTTCAGGGCACACCTTCCTGGGAAACAAAGTCAGCTGGCATGCACCTGCCAGATGCATTCACATGTCAACAGCAGGAAGTTCAGTTAGTTTTGGCCCTAGGGTTTTCCTTACAATTTAGTCTCTGTCATTTACTGCAATAGTTGAGCAGTGACCTTCAGAGAGCATTTCAAGAAAGCTTGCGAGCTGGTGTTCAGGTGTATGAATGTGTATACACACACACATATACTCTATATCTGACATTTCTTCGATTTTAAGATATTTAAGAGATCTGATAGCTGTTTTAACATGTGTGGGAAAACTCTAATCTCTAGTCTTACATACCAAATTGCATTGCTGTTGCTGATAATGCTGTGGAGTGTTGTAAGTGTTTTTGTTAAGTGCTGTGTAGGGTTTCTGAGACTATAAACCTTTTGTGGGAGCAGAAAGCCTGAAGGCTGGTGGGTTTGAAGTGCTGACGTGGTTTCCAGTCCAATGTTTATCCTACAGCGTCACCACACTTTCTCTAATTATAATAAGGAGAGGAAAAGCGAAAGCTGAAAGCAAATGAACAAGAGAAGACAGAGGAAACTTACAAAGCATTTTGCTGTTGTTGTTAGGTGCCGTTGAGTCAGTACCGACTCATAGTGACCTTATGCACAGCAGGATGAAACACTGACTGATCCTGGGCCAACCTCACTATTATTGCCAAGATTGAGGCCATTGATGCTGCCACTTGGCCAAACCATCTCTCTAGGGGTTTTCCTCTTTTTCTCTGACCCTCCACCTTATCAAACATGCTATCCTTATCCAGTGACTGGTCCTTCCTGACAGTATGTCTGAAGTCTGACAGACAAAAGTTTGGCCATCATGGAGCACTCTGGCTGCACTTTTTCCAACACAGATTTATTTGTTCTTTTGGCAGCCCGTGGCACTTTCAATATTCTCCTCCAACACTCAAAAGCATCAATTCTTCTACAGTCTTCCTTATTCACTCTCCAACTTTTACTTGCATATGAGGTTACTGAAAATACCACTGCTTGGGTCAGGTGCACTTTAGTCTTGCTCAAGCTGACATCTTTGCTTTTCAACACTTTAAAAATGGTCTTGTGTAGCAGATTTGCCTAATGCAAAACAAAGCATTTTAGTACAAATTAAAGCTTGCCTGGAAGCTGCCTTGGAGGTACAGAACTAGGAGCAAACTGCTTTTCTAACATCACAGCCACAGTCAGGGATGTTTCATTGCTTGGCATAGAACTCGTCATTTTACACTAGGACAATGAGCTCTTTCTTCCTCAGGTAACGATGTGCTTGTTCCTGAAATAAATGGTCTTATGGGTCATTGAAGGCAGTTTATAGGTCTTTGGGGACTTGGGCTTTTACTGAGAGCAGGTGAGTCACCCCCACTCTACCCTCATTGTCCTTTATGCAACCAAATCCAGAGTTCTTTGGTGAACCAAGCGTCAAGTCTTTAAATTCATCCTTTTGGAATTTCTAGTTCTATGTGATATTAAACAAACTGTTCTGCAAGTTTCCTCTCAAATCAAAGAGCAGATACCTGTGCTTACTGGAATCACCAAATTCATTTAAACTTTCTTTTAGGCCTTGAATATGTCACTTACTGAAACAGGAGAGGAGCCATTGTCTCCATTTTAACTATTTAAGCTATGATATTACAACAAATAAGATTTCTGGAAATCAGTGCAAATTTGAGGAGATAAACTGTAGACCCCACAGCAGCAGAAGACAGAGAATGACTTTCTGGAGGAAACTGATGTTGCCTGGTGTGTGTCCACCAATGATACTGTGCCCTGACCAAGAAGAAGGAGATGAGGTGCAGAGCAGCCTAACTTAGTGTTCTTGAACTTCTAATTCCTGATTTCTGGCCTTGGGCATGGTTTCCACCTACTTGTGGGGGCACTTTTCTTAGCTTCTGTAGTCTTTGAAAGGTACTTGGGTAAGTAAAACTTGTTAAGTTTTCTAGATAGACCTATTTACAGAACACCTTTCTTTTGACACCAGGCTGTCCCAGGATAAGATTCTATCTGAATCATCTGCTCTTTGGCTCAAAAGAAAAGTGGATGAGGTATCATCACAGTCACCCATGGCCAGATCCCTGGTGGAGGACAGACCCACTTCCGAACCTGCCTAGTTATCTTACAGAATGGCTTTATTTTCCAGTAACCACACTATGGCAACAAAACCAGTGGCACAGATTACACTACAGAACTCGACAAACAGACAAGGACAATGTAGACTTTTTTCAGTCAGATTGCTTTTAGGACAAAGTCTACCTGGTCAACAGCAAAGCACCAATTGGGCTGCACTCTGGGGACAAGTCAGAGTTTGTGCATGCCTCCAACTGTAACACATCAGTACAGTTGGTTAGAGAAGTAGAGAAGAAAGCAAAATGAAGCAAATTAACCTGACCAATTAAAAAAAAAAAAAAAAAAGAGAACTATATTTACTTTGGAGAAAATTTAAATACCATGGAACTTAACAATCACAACCCACAAGCATTTCCCCTTTCTCTACTAGAAACAAGTAATAGGCACATTTCTCCCTAAATGACTAGACTATAAGACTTTTAGAGTTATATTTTAATTCGGGAACAGAAGACAGAACAACAGATTTAGTCTCAGTTTGATCGAGAAACCATTTTTTTTTTTTTAAATGTCAAATTGTGGCTAGAGATTTTATTTTATGATTTTAATTATCTAAATTGCATGTGTTTCTGCATATATAATCCAAAAAAGACAACATCTGAGTCTGATGTACTTGTTCACGGTAAATATTTTTTTAAGTCAACGCAGAACACAAATTGTTTCTGTCCCCAGAAGAACAGCAACTGAGCACATAAGATTAAAGAGAGGGTTGTTCTTAAGCTCTTATTTTATTAAGTACTGTGGAGTCGGTTCTGACTCATAATGACCCTGTAGAGGTTTTCTGAGGCTGTAAATCTTTACGGGAGCAGACAGCCTCATCTTTCTCCCGCCGAACGGCTGGTAGTTTTAAACTACCAACCTTGAGGTTAGCAGCCCAATTTGTAACTGCTAAGCTCTTATATTTCACTTTAATCTAAGCATCTGTTTTACTGTTTTACTCCCATTAACTAACTCTGGTTGGAATAGAGGATATGTGATTTTCAATAATTTGGTATTATAATCCAATTTTGCCTAAGAAATTGAAACATCTGATTTTTGAAGTGAATAAAAACAGTGATAAGACTCTCACCTGGTGATAAAAAGGACGTAAACTGGTAGAATATCTCAGTGTCCTTCTTCTGACCACTGTATCCCACGATGCTTCCGACCTCTAATGGGAAGGTCTTGAGGAGGGCACCAGTGGCCAGGTCGTGAAGCTGCAAAATGTTCTTCACATCATGGAGGTAGCATAATACCAAAAAGTTGGACCTGACACATGCTACCCATTCTGAAAAGATAAGGAGGAGAGATACAGCCTAATGTGATTTTGAAAGTTAGTGAAAAGTCATTTGTTTTATAAACAATAACTCTTGGAGCATCAGCCATACATTTTGCTATGCAGAAAAGAGACTTAGAAAGTGATTTTATAATTGGCTTTAATCATTCATCCAGTTTTCCGCAGATTCCTTTAATGTATTCTTATTCCTGTCATAGCCAGAGGAAACAAAATATTTTCTATCTTGGGCCAGTGGCTTTTGATGATCAAGATGACTGTATGATGTGCCCAATACCATGCTGCAAGAGATACAAGGAAGTAAACATCAAAGAACTAAATCATAATCCAAGACTGTTAGAGCTGTTTATCCAAAACGTGTTAAGCACTTGGTATGTGCCAGATAATCTATAAGGTACTGGAGAGACAGGGAAAAGGATAATAGCCTTTCTGCCCTTGAAACACAATCATATAAAAATATGAAGGGGCTTCAAACGTTTGTGGGAAAAAATGAGTTACAAGATAATGACATTTCCCCACAAATTTTCATGTTATTTGTATAATGAGTAAAATGGAAAGAAAGATTAGCAATGGTTGGTGAGGTACCCCAAACACGTGAAGGCCTTTCAGCAAGCCCTGAGTTGTATCTTGAGTATAGGGGTAGGGTTTGAATAGGGGGTAGTCAGGAATGAGGCAGCTCTCCAGGAGCCAACCCAGTGGGAAGACAGGTGCCTCAGGACATGAAAACCAATGATAGGCACAGGGAGAAATGAATGAATAAAGGAATGAATGAACAAACAAACAGTCTGGTTAAAAGAACAAACAAGAGATCAATTTTCAAGAAGAAAAAAGCTGTTCAATTGAGGGGTAAATGGTGATATTGGTGGTGGTCTGATGGGGGATTCAGTGAACCAGAGTTTAGCCCTGACTTAGTCATTACTAAGGAGCTAAGAAGGGAGACATAAACAAAGAGGACATTAATGAAGCACTGTGTGTATCTGATAGCTGAATGCAGAACAATGGAGAGGTGACTGGTAAGAACATTACTGTAATAAATGAGGCAGAACACCAAATCAAGCTGGGGACAAAGTCTGAACAGGAAAGAAAATAAATGAAAGGTATTTCCCAATAAGACTTGCCAGGACTTGGTAACTGCAGCAGGCAGAGTAAGGCAGAGAAATGAACCCTCCTCAACTACCAGGATCTAACTTGGTGACAGAGCTAGGAGAGTAGAGGTGAGTGAGGTGCAAGGTAAAGAAGAAAACAGAGGATACAACCCATCCCTCTTGTGGAAGAAATGCATGCTATGAAGAGTGAGAGATCCTGTAGCAAATAGAGTAAGGGCAGGGATGCAGGTAACCGCTCAAACACGCTAGAAAGGCAAGTCTTTCTTGAGTTTCATGGTTAGGGGGAGTTTGTATATATGCGAGGTCTTATAATCTAAGAAACTAGTTCAAATTTATAATGTCAGCTACCAACACAATCAATAAGACATCAGCCAGCAGGAACTCTGAGGATCACCAAGGGCCTTAAATTCCTCGAATTGTACAGATTACCATAGCAAACTTCTCAAATGAGGATAAAAAGATCTCTTACATTCAAACGTAATTTGTTCATCATCTAACACAATTTTTAAAAGCAATTCAATTAAACAATATATTTCATCATGTTTTAAAGTTAGACAGTATGGAAAAAGTTGAAGTAAATTATTTCTGTCAAAGAATCATCAATCTGAGTTAACTGTAAGAACATCAGAATTATAAAATAGACAAAGTGAATAAGAAAAGGACAAGGTGATTTGTAAGCTGTCATTAATACAAGCTCTGACTTTATAGCTGTACTTTATGACTCATCTCTAGTTTTTATTCTCAATAGGGCATTCTGTGATAATGATAGATAGCAGATTCAACTGTGCTTCTTTTAAATTGATGAGTTTAGTGAATATTGAAGGTTTCCCCTTTCCATTCTGAAGAACTTGTAACCTTCAAGCAGAAGGTTAGAAAAATATATCATTCCCCCCAAATCTCCAAGCATCAATTTGCATTTCATTAGATCCACAAATGAGACAGGATGTTACCATAAGGCATAGTTAAAACTGCTTTTACTTTTTTTTTTCTTTTTCTTTTTAAGCAGAAAATTCACAATGTCTTGGGAAATATTTGCAATATCCTTGATAGCTCCCTATAAGAGAATCACTGTAATACAAAGACTCACGTTACCGAAGTCTCATTTGGACACAACCAACGCACAAGGTGGAGCCTGGAAGTGAGGAAGTGCTCAGTAATTGCTAGCTATGTGCACCCTTAGACATGAGGATGACAAGCATGTCTTGCTTATTTTGGAAATGTCATCAGAAAGATCAGCTACTAGAAAATAACATTATGCACAGGGTCAGCAAAAACAAGGAGAATCTCTTCAATGAGATACAATGATACAGTGGCTACAATCATATGGACTGTGGGGACAGCACACAGCCAGACACCATTCTATCCTGTTATATACAAGGATGCTATGTGCTGTAGTCAATTCTATGGCAGTTAATAACGACCAACCACCACCTTTAAGGAACTATGGGAGTGTAGTGGTTACAAGTCGGGTTGCAAATCTCAAAGTCAGCAGTTTGACACTACCAGCTGTTCCATGGGAGAAAGATGAGGTTTCTGCTCCCGTAAATATTTACAGCCTTGGAAACCCTATCCAGGGTTGTTATGAGTAGGAACCTACTCCGCAGAATACCATCACCACCAACAACCACCACCACCTTGAGCAGGGACAGTCCTGCCTTAGTTTGGTAGCCATGAGGCTGCCAAAATGACTACAAAAGAGATTCCTTACATGAAGGCATTTAAAGAAATGGCCAAAACCTAGTCTTTGATTTGTGAATACTTTATCCAGATATTAACAGGGTTCAGAAAGTATATGGAAGGTTTTGAGGAGACAAGAGGTTTCCTTAGGAAGAGTCCACCTCACTTTGGAAAGTGTGAGAGTGTTGCTACTCTTTAACTCCAGCCCAAGGTAAAACGATGGGGTCTGATCCAAACCTAGAGTTAAGGGGTCTGTGACTGGAACATCTAGAAGGGACACAGCTAGGGAAGGCTGTCACCTAATGTTTGCAGGTGTAAGTTTTGTAGGAAAAAACAGGCATGGGGCCATTTTGGGGTCCTGTTCAATAGGACTGCCTGGAGTGGTGCACAGACTCCAATAATACCAGAATTTTAGCTATGTTTCCCAAAGTTGACTTGAAAATACATTCAATGCCTTTATCTGAGATAGGGTCATTTTGCAGCTCGCAAAAGGGATTATTTCCCCGATTGTAGACTCAATAAACCTTTGCAGTTTGGGATGGTCCGAGACTTAACTCATCAGGAGAAGGTCACCTCCAACTAGTCAGCTCTTAATTGACCTCAAAGTCTAAACGCTCCTTTTATGTAGACTGCACCCCTCTCCAGCAAATTAATGAGTCTTTTTCTAGTCAAGTATTTCTTTAAGCAATAAATTTATAAAACAGCACACCATTTGTAAAGAAAAAATCACAGAGAAAATGAGTAAAAGGGACCTTAAAGGAGTCCTGGTGTGGCGCTGTGGGTTAATGTACCAGACTGCAAAGCCGTCTGAATTGCAAGGTCGGTGGTTCAAGCTCACCAGCTGCTCCTCGGAAACCTTATACAGGGTCACTCTGTGTCAGAATTGACTCAACAGCACTTCACAACAACAACAACAACGGCACTCTGAAACATGACTGTTCTGGAAGTTAACTTCTCAAGAGGTTAATGAAGTTCAGTGCATACAGCAGCACTCAGTGGGTTTCAATCAACTCTGACAAGAGTCTCTTCTCTTTTCTAATAAGGGGATGTGAGATCTACCTTAAGAT